GTGAGAGAAGCAGTGAACATAGTAAGGGGCTGTGGTAAGAGGATGGCTTTACCAAATATAGAACACCTCTGGTGCAAGAAAACAAGAAAAACTGACTAAAAGAACCCCCAAAAAGCATGGAAGCAAGTGTTTCAGTGGTACAAAAATAAAGACGGCCAGTGAGTAATGTGTCGCACAAGCTATATGAGAGTCATGAGAGTATAATGAAACATGGCAAAAGCATGGGTCCTGGGTTACTGGCTTGTAACAGTAATTAAATGAGGTACTTAACTCCTGTCTTAAGAATCTAGACTTCTGTAATACCATACTGATAGGGAGTACTATAAAAGGAGCGGTAGCCTAATTTGGTGATGTATAACACGAATATCTGAATGACGTAAAATAACACCCTAGTACGGCAGTAGGTGGCTTGAGATATGAATCTTATGACTTGGCAGCACCTAGCTTGAGATATGGATCAGGTCCTTAAAGTAGCTCCCTAGGGACACTAAACTGAAAGTATGAAGAGTGCCCACTCGAAAGACACCAATTTGGAAGTAATACAAGAAATGAATTAGAAGTAATGTGATAAGTGATAAGGGTGAAAGTTAGTTGGTAAACGTTGTACAGTAGTATATAAGTGGGATATATATGATATAATTAGGTTTGGGAACCATCCGGTAATCTAGTAATTGGTCTAATTGTAGGGTGGTTACTAAGGAGGTAAAAATCTCATATAGCAGATCACACATAGATACCTAATTTGGTAACTGGGTGAGCTAATACATGTAAAAATATAGATAGTTGTAAATATACTCATGACATTTGTAACCAAAAATACTTTAGCGTTAATCTAATAAACAGTATTGGCAAGACTGCTGAATTAAAAAAAAAAAAAAAAATTTTTTAAATATATCTTAATTACCAATCTTGTTAATTTATAACCTATCAATTCTAATAAAAAATAATTTGCTAAAACTTTGCTACTATATAAATCTAATAATAAATCAAAAAACAATTTTTAAAAGTTAATAAAATTAAACTAGAATAGATTAAGCAAATATATTTTAAGATATGTATACAATTATTTTCAAACTAATATTTTTAATAAATCTAATATAATAATTTAATTTTTAGCAAATTGTATTAAATTTATATATAATAATTAACTTAAAATAGCAAAAATTTTCAAATTTATATGGATCAATTATGATCTATATTAGAGATATTTGGGTTTTAGTTAATATTTAAAACAAGTATTAATTGAAGATATAATATATTTAATAAAAGCTATTATATTATAAATTTTTTTTATTATGCTTTTAGACTTTTAACAGTGTCTGTTTTTTAGTATTAGTAGTATATAAAATTTTTTTTTAAAAATAGATTTCACTTAATTGGAGATTGGTAATTCAAGCTTGGCTAATCTTTTTTTATTAGCATATTAATATCTTTAATTATAATTCTAACTATTACAATAGATCATATAAAAACAAAATGTTGTAATTTTAAAGGTAGATCTAAACTGATTTTATACCTATAATTATTTAGCAAGTTTAATAAAAAGTATTTATAATTAATATAATTAGTTAAAGGCTAAGATTATTGCAAATAAAATAGGTATTAACCTTGTAAGAACATCATATAAATTTTACAAATCTGAAATTATTGCAAAATATTTAAAAAAAAAACAAAATGCAAATAATTATAAATCAACTTCTTCAAACCAGGTTAAAATATAATATAAATTTAACTAGCAAAAAACACTTTGTAAATCTTTTGCATATATATATAGATTAGTCAATGAAGAAGATACAAAATATCACTCTGCAAAGATTATTTTCTATCTGATTTTAACTTCAAAATTGTATCTGTTTCTCTTATAAATATCTTTCTTGAAACTTCTATTAAACATAAAAAAAATTTAGACCAGATAGCTAAATTGGATATATCTTTAATATCAACAAATAAAGCAGAAGTTAAAAGTTAGAAAACCAGAAAATCATATATTACTCATAATATAGTGAAGGAAGTTTTTAAGAAATATCAAATGTGTGTTTTGACAAGTAAAAAGTTAATATACAATAGTATAAATATATTAAATTTTGTTCATTTAAATATAAATAAAGATAAGATTACAAAAAGCTCTCTATGTATTGGTATTATTAACCCAACTACATCAAGTTTTTACCTGACAACTTTAAATATTTTATTGTTAACCAACTTCAAAACCAAGACTTTAAGATCAAGGCTATCTGTTTTGCTATTAAATTAAACATCAATAAGTTTATAGTAAATTGTAAAAAAAAAATATTGAAATTCTTAGAAAAGTTTAGTATTATAGAGAATTTGGAGTCTTTGGCAAAATGTTTAAATAAAAATTTGATCAATATATTTAATATATTGAATAATCTTATTTATATGTAGACTCTCTTCAATTATTTCTTTTTCTTATACAAGAATAATATTCTACTATAGTCTATATATAAAAATAAGCTTAATGCATATGTTTAGACTTCACTATTTAGGAATGTCTTTTTTGAAAAGAATGATATTAAATTAAGCTAGCTTTTAAATCATATAAAAAACCTTAAATATTGCTAATTATAATACTTCAAAGTTAAATGATTCAGGATTTTTTAAATTTTTAGATACTGAAATCCTTGCTTAAAAAGACAGTATTTTAAATACCTATAGCAAAAGAACAGATAATCTTTGAAAATTAGAGTATTGCTTCAATGTGATTCTTACAACCTTATTTTTTGCTCTCTTCTCTGATGCCAAAATTAATATTATGAAAATTGAAACTTATAATCTTCAATTAAATAAATTTTATCTTAAAATTTCTATATCGAAATATTTGTTTGAAGATACCAACTATTATTGCAATAGATTTACAGTATGTGAAAGTTTTAAGAACTGTTGAGGGATTTTTTAAGCTAGTAGTTGGCACAAAAACAATTCTGTCTTGAAAGGCACAAACTAAGAAAAATACAATGGCTTTTTATGAAGCATTGGAAAAAGGCAATATATATCTAACAAACGAGACTGTTTTTTATCAGTATCAATATTTGTATTAATTTGATTTAAGTGGGCTATAAGTTCTCAACTCTGATATAAATTGAAATAATCATAAAACAGGCCTATTGTAATTAAAATCCTTTAGGTTATTTTATTATTATAACATATATTATTTAATTAGAGCCCTTTACTCTCAATATTCATTTTACAAAAATAAAGAATTATGCTTTGACCTTGTTAATTATATACATTGGGTTAATTTTACTATAATGCGGGCTTATTTCTAAAGTTAATTTCGGCCGGAAATTAGTAAACAATTATGTAATGCGGGCCAAAATTTTGAAGATCCTCGGCCGTTAGCCAATCAAAATCGAGGATCTGCCGCGCATTTTTTGTGCGGCACCTAGGATAATGCCCACCTGCACGTTATTTCATGTGCGTAATTTCGAAATAAGAGAACATTTCTAAATTCAATACAGCCAGCCTTCAGTAAATGCGTGTTGTCTGGTAATAGAGTGTTCATTTATAGAGAATAATCCACATATAATATTAAATAATTACATTACGTATCGACTGTATATCTATCGCAACGATAAATTATGATGCGCATTAATTCGAGACGCTCATGAGTGCTAATTCGAGACCATATGTTATTTTTGAAGCACCCAATTTTCAAAATGACGCACACGAGCGTTATTTCGCGCTTATGCAGTAAGTATATTTAATAAATGCTTAATTTGGAACTTGACTAATTACGTACTAATCATAACCTCATTTCAGAAAACAAGCATAACGATAAAAAATAAACGCGCTACGTTCACAAGAAGCAAGATTCGCACCTAAATCTTCTTAACCCACGCACAATCCTATTAAATATATGCTGCACATTCATTTATTCGATGAAGCGATATCTGGCACTATTAGCTCGATGTATTTGAATAGTGTATAATAATGAATCTGAATCGAATATAATTAGATCGAATCTCTCTTTGGGTTCGGATCCGCAGGATCTGAAAATTATGGGATTCGAAATGGGTTTGTGGATCGAATCGAGATCGAACCCGAATCCATTTTGCGGAACACTATGTATACTATATAACACCCAGGGGCGTTATTTCGAATAATGACCCAAATTTAGGCCAAAATTCAAAATTACACTCCTGCACGCAGGGTTGGCAATGGAGCTGCGAATGGAGCTCTGAATGGAGCCAATGGATACTAGTTTTTTACGTAACCATTTAACTCCATTGCCAACCCTGCCTGCACGTTATTTCGTGTTTATACGAATAATCACACAATCAGGCAACATTTGTCTGATTGTATAGGTGAGCTATGATTTGCAAATTTGATCATGTTCCTATCACCTGTAATAGTGCGACGCTAACCCTTGTTATGTATAAATATCACCCCTAATAATATATTATATACTTACATATTACTTACAGAATATCATAATTTAATTATTGATTAAATTCTTTTAGTAATGTGTTGAAATCAGGTGTAGTATTAGATTCTTTGTTTTCTAGAACAGACATATCATCTAAATCTTTAATTTCGGTAGTAATTATGTTATTTGCAATATATAAAAGATCATCTGGTGTATTGGACTTTTTCTTTTTAGCAGATTTCTTTGATGCTGGTGGCACTTTATGCTTAGAGGACACAGGAGATTTTTGTATTTCTAATTCATCCCTAAATATATGGGGATATTGACACTGAAAC